ACCACCAGTGCCAACCTTGTCACTTTGGTCACAAGTAGTATAGTGTATAGACTCATTACTTTCCCTTCATCTTTCATCATTTATCCTTTCAAATTAGTATATAATTATGTGTCCTAACATAAGTACTACACAGTGTAGATATAATTGAGACACAAATAAATAAATAGAAACATAAGTTAGGACTTTAGGTGCATAAATGCACATATAATTAGGCATATATGACAGATATATTATATTATTATAGTTGGTTTGGACATTCAAAGCTTGGATTATTAAATTGCCAGTAGAATACAAGTGGGGAATACAATACAAGAGAGAAGTAGTAACAAGGAAATGTAGAGGGCATAGTGTAACAGGTGTAGTAAGGGACGAGTAGTGTCACACAACTATGAAACCAGACGTGCAGCCGAGCACGTCTGATGGTTGATGGTTTGCAACCACTGGTTGTGTAACCGGTGGTTGCGAATTTGGCAGGCACTGGTCGCGCGACCAGTGCAACCGAGCAGGGCCTAAGGTATGCTCCAGATGGGTAGTTTACTGTAGAGAACCATGGCGGACTAGCTAGAGATAATAGTCAGCCACAATATGACCCTAATTGTAGAGAGTGCTTCGACCTACGGGCATGAGTAAGGATATATTTCCCCTTAGGCAGCTTACTTCTAAGTGTCTTGGTAAATGTAATCACCCACTCTTCTCCCTTACCGAGGCTCATTGCACCCAAGTCTTCATAGTCGACATCAATACCATCGAGGTCATTATTGAGTATCCAGTTAGCCATGTCATTTGCACACTTAGTTGGATCAACCCCAGAAGTTGTCGGTGCTTCTGTGCTGCCAAACGCAGAGACTATAACCTTTATTCCAGCAGCGTTGTACTTGCTTTTAATCTGTTGCCTAGTGTTCTTATTAAGTTGAGACCACACTACTGCTTGATCAGCTGCACCTGTGCTCAAAAGGAATGAAATTGCGCTAAACCGGAAGTCAGCCTCAAATAGTTCCGGGTATCGGTATTAACATACAAGACAGTGTAACCCTGAATGTTTGCTACATCCGGGAACGTGTTAGATTTGTCACTGTAGATGACGAACTGCGGTCTGGATGACGATCCACCAGGAGTAGGATGGTTAGAGGGTTGAGGTCCTTTCGAGGTGGTAGTATTCCCACCTGGTTGAGATGAGTGACCATTTTGACTGGAATAGCCGCTAGTTGTAAAGATGGATAATAAGAATGCAGTCGAAACGATATGTCTCCAGAGCATCACACTGAAAAGAAGGTAGTACTTTTGCCAGTATCAATAATTGAACAAATAGGTGTTGCACTGCAGGCTATTTATGCTGAGACAGAATGCTCTGGAAGCGCAGAGGAAGCCCTTGGGAAGCGTGTTCAACGAACGGAAAGGGCGCCCATACAGATATATCAATGTAACTTGGGCATTGGCAACATCTGCCGGCAGCAAATTGTAGAACGAAAAGCCATAGAAGGTCCGGAATTCACACGAATTGCCAGTGAATGCTTTGAAGAGCTGATTGCGGACTGAGGGAATGCGACCTGCGACCATGAAAGCCAACCTGCACCAAAAATTAATGTGATTGCAAAGCCAGCACACGTGATTCATCCGAGTTTCAGTTAACACATACATGCGCAATCTCGTTGCTTTCAGGGTACCTGCAACTCGGCTTGGTATTACGCGTAAGCCCATGGTAGTCAGTGTGGTTGAGTAAAAAGGCGGACTTTCTCAGCGGGAAAAAGAAAAGCTGTTGCGATAAATAAGTGGCCACTGCAGGGGTCGAACCTGCGACTTTGGCGTCTACTAACAAGGTATTAGCACCACACTCTAACCGACTGAGTTAAGCGGCCTCTAATTTTAGCTAGAGCAAATTACTGTTGTCATACATTCAGACCTTCTTCAGCTTCAGATATTCTTCTGGTCTTAATCAAGCCAAAAGATATTTAAAGTCTGACATGAAAGCATTCATATGTCTGAGGAAAGGCTATTAATAATTGGTGTAATATTTTTAGTTATTAAATAAAGAAATATAAGTTATAAACTTTAGTTATAAGTTAGCTTTAAGTTTATATATAATTAAAATATTGAGCTTAGAGTTACAACCTATTGTTTAGAGACAATGTTTTACTCAGGTTGTAGAATAGGTAATTAACTAGTATTAAAGGAGATACAAAAAGAGATACAGTTTTAAAAATGTTTTAGAACTATTTATAAAATAAGTTATATAATAAGGCTAACAGATTGTGTATAACCTCTACAAGGTTACACTCTTCTCTACTAGGAAGAAGAGAGAAAGAGGGGAAAGTAAAGAGTAGTGTAAGAGAGTATGAATAAATATAAGAGATAAGAAACAAGTAAGGTAAGAAAGAGATTAAAAAAGGAGGAATATATTAGAATAGAAATTGAGAATGTTTAGTAAGAGAAAAGATGTGTTAAATACAAAGATAAAGATAAGAGAGGAGAAAGTATTAGTTGAACATACTCTACAAGTGTTTTATAGAATAGAAATTAAGGATTAAGAAGGACTATATATAAGAGTTAGCTTATAACTATTGTTTCTATTAGTCTAATACTATATAGTCTTCTAGTTTCTACTTAGATAACTAAAGATTGTCTTCTAGACTGTACCCTTTCTAGTAAACAAGGTATTAGAGACTGTATCCTTGTTTTTGTTAATTAATTATAGTTTCTACTTTCTACTCTTTAAGTCCTTCCTTTATAAGAATAGAAGGAGAGTATACAAGTTCACATATAAGGTATAATACAGGATTATTTGTATAGTATTGTTTGAGCTAAGATACATAAAAGGTAGAAAATTTGGTACAAGAGTTTAGCAATTCAAGCTAGTAGGTAGAGTAGTTTAAGAAAGTCTTAAGAATATAGTACTTACTATCTTATCTTAGTATGAATTTAGTTACACAATTGTTACTACTCTGAGTATTACCTTAACACTAATAGAAGGTAAATAGTATAACAAAGTTACTAGGAGTATAAGAGTCTTCTAGACTCTTCTTCTAGTTTGTAGTATAAGTTTAAAAAGTTTTAGCTAGAATAAGAGAGTTCTAAGCTTTTATAATATTAAAATTAAGCTGTTAAATAAGAGAACAAGCTTACTTGTCCTCTAAAAGGGTAGGCTTGTTTTCTAGTAAGGGGACAAAAGGTAGGATCAGACAGGAGTATTAGCTAAAGTAAAGTTGAAAGGGGGAAAATCCTGTTAAAGCATTTTTAGTATTTATAAGCTTAAACTAAACACAAGGTAGTACACAGTACTAGTCCTTTTATTATTAGTTGACATAGAATCAAAGTACTTGAATGACTGACTTGTTTGTTTGTTCAGAGATTCTATCTGTTTGTAAGTAATAAGCTGTAAACATTTTTAGTTTAACCTCTAAAATTTTATAAAGAGCCTTCTAGAACTTAGAAGTAAAGAGGTAATTCTAATCTGAGATAATGTTAAGAGGAAGACTGTTTTTACAATACTATCTGTCAAAGAAAACACAGGCAAACTTTTTAGGAGTTTAGCTTATACAGATAGAGAGTAGGTAAATGTTACTAATAAGTTAGTTAGTAATAAGTGTAATTCTGTTAAACCTGTAGTCTAGAGGCAGAGGACCTATAAAGTTAATAGTAATTGTATTACTATACTAGTCAGTCATAGTAAGAGAGTATAAAGAACTGGTAGGTTTTTGAGTAGATAATTTATATCTCTAACATAAGTTACACTACTTAATGTATGAATTTTCAAGGTTGGAACACATGTTTAGCTAGTAGAATAATGACTTTAGTATTGTATATGTCTTGTCAATTCTAAAGTAGTCTATAGAGTTATGAGTAAGTTTGTAAAAGTGTTTACAGAGTTAATTAACATACAGAATAACAAGCCTATCACTTAAGAATAGTAGACTATTCTTAACTCAAACATTAAGGGATTCAAGAGGCTGAGAGAGGAGCTTAGTACAGAATGAGTCATCTTTGTAGGACAATTGGATCTGAAGAAGTAATTGTTCATCTACAGAGATTGTAAGACAGGAGGATACTATTGTAGGAGGGGAGAAATCCTTATTTAGAAGTCTGGACAGAGTGTTAGTAGCTTTGTTTTGTTTACTAAGTATGTATTAAACATTAAAAACATATTAAGCTAGGAATTCTTACTAACATACTTGTTAGTACAAGAGATCTCTCTAGGAAAGGAAACTTGTGAGTGTCTTATAATTTATAAATATAGTAAATATAGTTTCTAGGAGGTTGGAGCAGAACTTTTTAAGAGCTTTTATAATAGTAAGTAATTCCTTCTTATAGACTAGGTAGTTATACTCTATAGGCTTCAAGAGAGTAGAGTTATAAGTAACAGAACAAGCTAAGTTTAGTAAAGGTCTAAAGGAGAGAACTATACCTGTATAGAGATTCAAGACATTTGTATAGAGATAGATCTTATTATTACTAGGATTCAGGTGGTTAATAACAGTTAAGTATTGTACAGACATAGTAAGAGCCTTGATAGTGTCAAATGTGTGTTAAAACTTTAAAAACTAGTGTAGGAAATCCTTATTACATTCCTTTAATGTTAAAGGGTTTAAGACAGTAGTATGTTTTACAAGTCTAAGTAGAAAGGGAGTAAGAAACTGGATAAGACTGAGAAACCTCTGTGTGTCTAAAGAAGATTGTAGTACTAGCTATTGTATAATCTTCTCAGTTTTAGTAGAGTCTGTATGTATACTTTACTAATTTATTTAATAATCTAAGAAATTAATTAATAAACAGAACAAGGAGGTTTTCTTTAGAGAACAGAAGAGGTGTACTTTCTGAAGGGAGTCTAGAACAATAGAGATATTCTTAGTATAAGTATTAAGATTAGTAGACTAGATAATAATGTTATCTAGATAGACATAGTAGATCTTACTAATAAGACAATGTAAGACTTTAGTCACACAATACTAGTAGGTAGTAAGAGTATTTCTGTAGCTTATAAGTATAACAGTCTATTTATAGAGTCTAAGTAGTGTATTGATTACAGTTAAGTAAATGTTGTTAGGATGAACACAGGTCTAAAAGAAGGCATTTGTTATATTAATTTTTCCTTAAATAAGACCTTTTATACAGTCAGTTAGAATATTGTCTATTTAAGGTAGTAGATAGTTATTAAGTATTATATTACTGTTAAGCTCCTAATAATTACAAACTATACACAGAAGAGCTAAAGGGTCTAATTTTGTAATAAGGAAAGTAGGAGAGGAAATAGAACTAGAAGAGGGTCTTAATCTGCATCGGGAAAAAGTCTAAAAGGTTATATTACATTATAATGGTGTGAAAAAAGTGAAAAAAGTAAAAAAAGTAATTTACATATTATCGGACCTCGATTTCTGATAAAGTAGTATAACTTTGTATAAGGTACTGTAAGGTTTATGAATGTAATAAAAGTACATAAGGGTAATACCCCTTTTAAACATATAAAATGCATAATATCGGACCTCCCTTTTTTGAAATGTATTGTAAGGATTACCAAGTTTTGAAAGGGTAATACACGTTTGTAATGTTTTACAGAGACTATACATAGTTATTATTTCTTAATAATAATAATTTCCCCTTACATCCATTCATT